TCTGCTCCACCTCTCACCTGAAGAACGAGGAGGATCTGATGCTGAACGAGTCTGAGCAGAAAACCTGCTGCTGAGTTGTTCAGCTGTGAAACATGAACTCTGGAGACGAGAGTCTCTGGAGACCCGTCTCTGGAGACACGAGTCTCTGGAGACGAGTCTCTGGAGACACGAGTCTCTGGAGAGACCAGTCTCTGGAGACCAGTCTCTGGGGACGAGTCTCTGGATTCTACCTGGAGCTGAAGACAGCTTCAGAGTCATTTTCTCTTAACAAGCTTTATCATGGTGTCTCTGTCGTTGTGCTACATGTATAATAATAATCTGTTGGAACATTCAGTGTTTGAATCAGTTTCTCACCTTGTCGTCGACGGTGAAGTGTTTCCAGGCTCGAGCCTCCTGAGTGCTCATGTTCTGGTAGAGCTGGAATGACCCATTTCTCCATCGGTACAAGCTGGACCCGGACATAGAGTCCCTGTGGGAGGAGGCGTGAGGGTTACCATGGAAATGCAGAGGAGACAGTGCACAGGGCATGAGGTGTGTTTCAGTACCTGTTGGCTGCAGCCATGAACAGGCCTTCAGATGGGATGGAGAAGAGCTCAACATCGAAGGTTTCTGAGTTGGTGTAGAGATCCTGATAATCCTCCACGTAATCCAGACGCTCCGGATCTGCCGACGACACGAGACACGACTGAGTAAAAGTTAAAAAGCCAAAGTCTGTGATAAAAGTAGCTCCGCCCCCAAGACTAGACAAGTGGTTGGGTGGTCACGCCCCCTAACAAAGTCAGGTAAAGTGAGAGGTCGACATTTTGTCTTTGCACTGGAAGCAGCTGACCAATCAGAGCGGACTTCATCAGGAGATAAAACCAAGTGTTAGAGACAGAGGAGCTGCAGCGATGGACATTCTGAGGACAGGGATTCTGTCTCTATGATGGACTCACTGTGCAGCAGTGTCCTCCAGGTGAGTCGGTCACAGATGAACAGACCTTTTCTCTGAGCGTTCAACCACAGCTGACCTTGTTCTGCTCTCGAACACACGGGACGATTTCCCAGAGTCACCGTGGTCTCGACCCCTGGAAAACAAACACAACACCTGACACCAGCTGTTTATGAACTCTGTGTAGATGTTTTCAGAGCTGAAGTCTGGACATGTCCTGAAATGTCCTGAAATGTCCTGGAATGTCCTGGAATGTCCTGGAATGTCCTGGAGGTTCTGGAGGTTCTGGAAGTGAAAACTGTTCTAAGGTTGAATTGAGTCTGAACTTCAAATACCACATGAGAATATTGAGAGATGAGTCATTTAAATATTGTGTTGTAACAATATTTCTCTTTGAAGTGTTGTGAAGTAGAAGAAAACCAAACTCAAGTAAAGTATAAGTACTCCAAAAGTTACTTCAGTACTCCGCATCTTTGCAGCGCTGTAGTAGAACTTCATAACCTGATGGAAAGTCCCTCATCTTCACAAACAGTGAACCCACAGTGACACAGCTGCAGACACATGTGACAGATGTGACAGATGTGAGAGTGTGGTTACAGATGTGGTTACAGATGTGGTTACAGATGTGGTTACAGATGTGCTTTAATGAAGATAATGATGCTCGCTCCTTCAACAACACAACTTCATTACACATCAGTCAGCTGCAGTGTGATAACAGACACTGAACTTTCCTGAGGGCAAAACTACACAACTCAACAACCAGAGATACACAGATGTACTGTAACATCACGACAACAGACAACCCTCAGCTTAAACACAACACAACTCAACTAAACACAACACAACTAAACACAACACAACACAACTCAACACAACACATCTGCCTTGACCAGTTGGTGAGCAGAGAAAAAGGTGAGAGATAGATGGGAAAGAGAGAGAGGAGAGAGAGAGGAGAGAGAGGAGAGAGAGAGGAGAGAGAGAGGAGAGAGAGAGGAGAGAGAGGAGAGAGAAGAGAGAGAGAGAGGAGAGAGCGCAAAAACAATTAAAATTAAAGTCTTCATGCTAAGCTAAGCAGTTGTGAAGGTCTGTCAATCACCAACAGAGGACAGATCAGATTTTTTTATCCATTTGCAGCTCGTGTTCCAGAATCACTGACACATCACAACATGATGACACACACACACACACACACAC